GGTGGTTCGGATAACTTATTTTTCGGATAACGAATCATGTACGAAAAAATATATTAATTTATCCCATGTTGAAATTTCTCTCCGTTGCGTGTCGCTTCGCGTTGAATTTTCGTCGATGTTAAGCCTAACGAAGACTATTGTATCGTTAAAAATTATTTTTTTATTTTGTACAAACAAAATAAATTTATTGAAAAATATAAAAATAATAAAAAATTATACTTCAGATGTTAATTTAGTATCAAAAACGTAAAATATTTGAGTAGCCCAAGACATAGACAAAGACTGAAGTGCCACAGCACTAGCGAAAATTTAAATTTGCCGACTGGAATTCTTTCGGATGATTGACGTTTCGGATGATTGACGTTCGGAAAATCGACGCTCTACTGTATATATATTTCAGTATAATTTTATTAAAATGGATAGTAAGTTGAATCTATTTGTAATATAATGCCTTCAGTTGAATTAATATGCTGCATCCAGATTTAATGACACTTATTGTAAATAATTATTATTAATGAACTTGCCATCTATAAAATTTTGTAATTTTAAACTTTGAGGAAAAATATTGCTTTTCTTTATAATACAGGTGACTCTTGATAAGTCAAAGTAATAGAAAAGGAATTTTCAAGTTAATGAAATTTCAAGTTATGGAAATGACTACTACTATAATAAGATTGCAAATATTGTGATACAAATGATATAATTAGATTTAAATATAGTATGTTTTTATTATCTCTTAGGCACATACATGTATGTACAAAATAAAATATTCATACCATTAACAAAATAAGTTTGCTACAAAGTTTCACTGAAAAACATTTTGCTTCAAGTGTGTCATGGCATTTAGAAAAATCCCTTTTAAAAATTTAGTGTAAACATTTTCTAAAAGGTTTGATCAGCTTTTGTGTTTTTAAAGACTATACACATTTGAAAACACAACAGATACATACAAGATTAGATATTAATGTAATGTAACCTTACATTAATGATTTGTAAATTTAGGATGCAGACAAATATATCATCATTTGTTAAAAAGTTTAATAATTAGTACATTTAATCTAATCTTTAATTAAAATTTTGGTACATCTAAAACATTTAGTTAAAAATTATTACAAATTTATTAATTATAAAAGTAATCAATAGACAATAATATATTTATTACATATTAAATTTATGTAGCATTAATTTTTCAAAAATAGTTTTCAGTGTATTAATGTGATAATTGATATTAAATACTTTGTTAATGGCAATGAAAACAACAGTAATAAAAAATAAAACATTAAAATTAAAAAAGTAATACATGCATTATATTTATCATATCATTATATCATCATCAATTAAATGGAAAATGAAATATCTAAATTATCCATCATTAATATCAGTACAGTAGAGTTCTATAAACTCAACATGGACTGAGGTGACAAGTTACTGAAAATGACAAGTTTTACAGATTCCAGGGTGGGTTAGTCACAACTCATAATACATTGCTGAAAATTAATCTATTAAAAATCTTTTAATACATCATGAAAGTTTAACAGTAAAGTGAGAAAAATAAGATGGTGTTAAAATGCAGGTCAAACTTGTTCATCTTTTCATTGGTAAGAACATTTAGCAACTGTAGTGGAATTCTGTTAAATTGATAAATTTGTTTACCATACAGAAGCATAGCAATGATGCTAGTCTAAATAGCAGAATTTTCATAAAGGTATTATATGTGCAATTTCATATACATATTAACTATGTATCAATAGCAATTATTTTATTTGTAGTTTAATTTCAATTTTAGAAAATATTGTCTATTCAGTGGCTATTTTCAAGTTTGTGCCATATGTGTCATGGGTTTTGTAATAACCCATTGGAAAAAAGGGTTATATTCTTTGTTGTACCACATGGAATTGATGGTATTATCAAGTGTCACCAGCAAAGAATACCAAGATTAAATAAATTATCGTTAAGTTACAAAAGTAAAAATTAGATTATATATATATATTTTATGAACAACTTAACAAATTTTATGGAATGTCAAGTCAGCAAAAGTCAAGTTTCAGAGACTTCACAGTATTTTGTAGTTTCATAAAAAAAAATTTTATTCATCATAATTAGTAAATAATATAATTAATATGTTAATTTTTTAAATAAGAGAAATATTAAAGTAAATTAACTAACCAGTACTGTCTGATCCACCTTCAGGACTCCCACTTGAATACATAGTTGCAAGTTTACCATCTAAAATAAAACGAAACCAACCATTGCTGCCATTAGATAATTCTAAAGCAGCTGCATCACTCCATAAATACAAGCAATCACGCCCTCGAACAATGCTCCAATCTCGCCAGTGATATGGACGTCCAGATAATATCTCTTTTGCATCTTCCATTGGAATTTCCTCCTCTTTCTGAAAAACAATAAAAAGAAAAATAAATAAAATTTTTTTTAAAATATATATTTCAGTTAACTGATTTTTGAGCCATACCATGTTCATGTAAGTAGGTATATATAATACATGTATTTATGTAAATGTGTATGTATACATTGTTGGGCCCCGAAGACCGTATTGCTTTCAGGGTTCTTACTCAAACTTTTGTTTTAAATTCCATGACTTTCACTGACTTCCCAACCGTGTACAAATTCCCTGACCCTCACTTCCCTTACAGTATGCCACACTGACAAAATAAATCAGCATTTGAGTTACTATGCACATATGCTATTGCTTCTCTAACTTTTTAATTTATTTTTTTCTAATTAGCAGTTATATATTTTTATAATTATTAAACTATTAAAACTAAAAATAGAATGTTTTATCAAATTAAAGTAGTTTATTCTGTTATTAATCCACAACCATAAATCTACATGGCTTTGAAAAAAAAGCAAACTTATTTATTTATTATTCATTAACAAATCCTGTATAATCCATATACAAAAGNTAAGTAATTATTATTTTTTATCATTACTTATTAAAAACTTTTCTTCCACTCATATATATCAGTTCTTCCAAAATTAGATATTCAAGCATGTGTAAGAAACATTAAATTAATAATTACTGGAATTGTTTTAACTTCTGAAACATCAAGTAACTGGTTAGAATGATGTGTTTGTTGAAAAGTGCCATCTTCAAATCTTGATATAACAGGTGACTGTAATTAAATATTCCTGTTCAACACTGTCTGGAGGAATACATAGCATTCCAAACTCAACCAAGTTTTGTATGCTGACATTTCCAGAAATGAAGAATAGGTTTCTGAGGATGAAAAATTTAATTCCAAAACACTAGGGGACTTGTGGCACTACAAGTGACAAAAAAATATGTAGCATATGCATAATGCATATAAGTTATGATCAACTGTTGGGTATAAAACTGTCTATGACATGTGAAATACCATTTGTATTACTGCATATCAACATTAATGATCATTACTGTGCCTAAATATACCTTTTTTGTGAAACTATTTAAGGAAAACAATGCCAGTGCTGCTATTGTGCATTGAGAAAGTTCAACTTAAGAAATTGTGCCAAGGTCTTTTTTGTTGCTCACAACACCCTAAGTCTTATAGTGGTAAGCTTTGAAACTAAATTTTATTTCATAGAAATCTTATCCACATGTCCAGAAATGTTAGAATACAAACTTTGGTTAAGTTTGGAATGATACATATCCATCCATACAGTATTGAATAAACATACTTTAATTATAATCCCCATCATTCAGTCAATTCCAAAAAATTATTCATGCTTATTGTAGAAGCTGATGTCTTTGGAGTTAATTAACTAGTACTAGAGATATATTTGAATGTATAGTAATATAAATATAATTGTATTGCTAAACATTCAAATATTGCTTACAAACTGTGTAGCAAAGATAAGAAATACATACAGATAAGGAATGACTGCAATGACTAATTAAACTTCAGTATATGATGATGATACTCATCTGCATTTCAAACACTGTATTTATAAGTCATTATGTATAAAAAAAACTAATCAAATATTTTTTATTTTAAAAAATGAATTATGTTTTAAATTATTTCATTTTGTCTGATGTTTTGACAAATTAGATATGCAGTATATTATTATCAACTTTCAAATCACTATTTTAATGCTACATAATTACAAAATTTCAAGCATAATTATTAATAAATATAATTACATTAGAATTCAAATAAGCATTTATTCAAATAAAGATTATTGCCATATTAATCTGATATTTTCAGAAATCAGATATAATGATAAAATCCCTACATAAATAATTATATATTCAAAAATATTTAAAATGTATCTGACTTCATTAAATCTAAAATAAATTTACCTTTTGCTTTAAAGCTTCCATTTTTGAACGATGTCTTCGTCCTCTTCTTCCTGTCCAACCAGCTGCAAACTCTGCTCCTAGTGATGTTTCTGCCGTAAAGGTATGTTTTGTTCCTCGATTAGATTCAAAGATAAAACCGGGCAAATCTTCTCTAAGAATTGTGGCTTGCTGTAAACAATTTGTTATAATTGTATTGATTTTTAAAATGTAAGTACAGTACATTTATATATACAGTGAAACCCCTCTATAATGGACATTTGAGTAGGGGGAAACTGTGTTATAAGGGAGGTGGTTACCCAAGACAGGTTTATGATGGATTTATGATCATTTATACACATCACAATCATCGTTTATGATAGATTGAAATTTTTCTACCTATCCAGTCATTGATAGAGACAGTTGTATTTATTGATTGAATGTGTCATAAAGCAAGAAGATTGACCTCTCTAAGCTATTGGACCTATTCTGGATTGTCAATGACCAATCCAAAGTAAGGCCAGTAGCTTATGAAGAGATCCATCTTTTTGCTTATGATGTGGTCACTCAATAAATGCAACTGTCTCTTTTACTGATTGACTATTTATAAAAATTCTGGTACAATAGAAAGTAGTGTGAGATGTTGACAGTTGTCCATGTCTATACTCTTGTCTATTCTTAATCTGTGGTGAAGACAGAACATATGCTTTTTCCATGTTGAAAAGAGAATCTGAATATTAATAAAACTCCACATAAATCTCTGATGTTAAAAGAGAATGTGAAATTTCTGAATATCACAAAAAAGATTGTTCGCTTGCATTCTTTAGACACATTTCTTAACTCTGCTTCAAGCATGAATCGTGTTCTGGTAGCAATGTAGCAAAAGAATTAAAAACAGTTTTAAGTGCAAGAAACCCTTGGTAAATTGGAAGCCTGCCAAACCAAGATGTTTTAAGGTGCCCAAGCCAAGTTGTTTCAAGAATATAAACTTTACAAAATTTGAAATTGAATGAAAAATGAAACAGAAAAGTCTGGATGACAAATTATGACAAAGTAACTGGAACAGCTGAACAAGAAAATGTTGTGCCAAAATAGGAAACTGCTTTTTGAAAATGCTGCATCACATCCATACGGAGGATGTGAAAAGAGAAAGAAGGTAAAAATGACAAAAGTTAGTGAATAATATGAAAAATGTTAGTGCATTGGAAAGCATTATTTCTACTAATTATGGGTGTAAAGTGCACATGCTTCCTACAAACTGATGTAAACAGACACACAAAGCAAACTCCCACAATAGCAAGTTAGTCAACATAAAAAGTTTTACTATGTCATAATAAAACAGTGCAGTCAAACTGATTTTAAAAACTCACCATACAATATTAAGTTTTTGGCATCAATTGACTGCAACTGCAAAAACTTCAAACAAAAAATTTTTGCAGTTGCAGTCAATTGCAAAAACCAATGAAAATCTATTGTGTCCTTTAAGACAGAGCAACACATCAATCATAACAAAAAAAAAATATCTGTTAAGAAAGGATGTCTGCTTTAGAGAAGTTTCACTGTACAGTACATATTTACAAATCAAAACATTATCTAAATATCAGTTAAGTTAAATTAATTATTTTAGTTAATTAATTGAATAAATTATTTGTTTAATGTCTATAGAAGAGCATTTTCTTAAAATTTGAGGAATGCGTTCAAGAAATATGACAAAAATCTAAATTTGCAATTGATAAACTATTACATCTATGGAAAAAAAATGGTTTTCACAAAATTTACTAGATCATCATATCATTCTAGTAAATTAGAATTTATAATATAAATTCTAATTTACTAGAACATATTTATTATTATATAAATACATACATTAAATGATTATTCTTATTTTTTGGGACATGAGTGTATTAAAATATATGTATATATTTATTTATTTCATATTCATGTCCAACAATAAAAGTAATCATCTGATCTTAACAAAAAACAAAAAATAAACTAAGCATCAGTAAATTTTTATGAACATTTCCAGACAATAAATACCTATTAATAAGCCCTACTATCACTATTACCTAAAAATAGAATACAGTTGAATGTTCCATTAAAAATCATAAGTTTATTCAAAGTATGCAGTTTCCACAAATACAGAAATAGCATGGCATTGTTTCTGTTAAGGTTAACTACTGACAATGGTTACTGTTTTACTGTATGACTGACAGATAAAGATACCATGATGCCAGATAAAGACACCATATAAATGTGATGATACAGAGGCTGTTTTTTTTTTTTTTGAAAAAGAGAAGCTTTAAAATTTTTCCCCTTTTTTCCATCCAGTTCCGACAGAATAAGAACAGGAGAATATCAAATATTAACATAACTGTCAAAAAGACATCAACCCACAAAATTAGCACAAATATGTTATACCAGTTGACTGTCAAATGTGAGAAAGTTGATGATTAACTTACTTTAAAGCAGAAAACCTATAAACAATTGCTAACAAACAATCATGTCAGCGCTACCAAACAAACGGTCACCTGATCAGGTTCCCATGCTAAATACCCATATAATGACAGCATGCCCTACTGTTGGGGTGATCAGTCCCTGAGGAGTAGACTTGACTTGGTGAATTGTGACTTTGTCTTTCCCCCCACTCCCATCCAGATATGGGTCATCCGGAAATTACCTTGACTAGACCCATGATCATCTTACCAACATCGAATGAACAGGATCCAGAAACCAAGTATCAAGGTATTATACTCTCGATGGTAAACTCTCTCTCTCGATCATTTAGCATACGAGTTAGGGCCATTAGTAATAATTATAAATGCCTGTAGTCTACGTCATTGACCTGTAGTGGTAGTAATGCATAACTATAATTGTATCCGTTGCTTGTATATTGTATCTTATATTTTATTTTTCTATTAAACTTGTTGAATTTTAAAATGGTTGCTCTCACTCATGTATCGCCAATGCCCTATTGACTTACTCAATGCGATCTCCCTACTTGACGCTTTGTCCTCCTAGCCATCCAAGTGACAACATGAGCAGTCTTCAGCAGACCATCACCATTAAAAGAGGTCTTGAGTTTGACTCTCTCTTTACCACCTGGTTTCTCACAGACAATT